CAAAGAGGTTTGAATGAAATTGCAGGCAAATGCCAGCTTCTATACTGAAATGCATAATTTTTTTTGCTTCTTATGATTTCTCTAGAAGTTATTCAGAACTCATTTATTTATTAATTGAATTTTGCCTGAGACATGTAAGGTAATCCCCCTTAGCTCCATCTGGAATACTCCTTTTAAAAATGTTCTGATCCTTCTTAACTTTAGTCATTAGGGTGTTTGGAGATCAGATAATACTGGCATCTTTTCATAATGCCTTGATGGTAATTTTTAGCCAACTATATAACTGGGATTTTTCATTTTTTAAAAAATTATTTCTGTATTTTTCTGGACTTCCCAGTGGCCAGTCATAAAAGCAAATAACATAACTACCTCAAATAGGAAGAATCTTAATGCAGAACTACTTCAAGTTTATATTTTCAATAAGATTTCCCATAAATTTGTTTTTTTGGGTAATGGACAACTGATTGAGTGGAATACCACTGTACTTGAGACCAGAATTAGGGTAGAAGATTTTCCAGTATTTAAATGTTGTAAAGGCCAGTGGCAGACCCTGTGAGGTGTCATCTGATTCCTTGCAAAGAGACACTTTGTTACTCCTGTGTTGATGGTGTCTGCAGTTCAGCCCCCTCATGGATTGCTTCTCCCAACTAAGTCCTTCCAGTGGCTATCTCCAGTGACCCATGGATGTGGCACTCTAAAGGCCTGATCGTTGGAGGCCAATAGAGGACATAATTAGAGGGTAGTTCAAGCTCCAGAGTCTGTATGGGGTATCTGAGTCAGGTGCAGACTTACTTTACAGTTTGACTTCTCTCCCTGCCTACCAGTTTCTGTCCCTTCATTTCCATAAGTGATGAACTGACATTTCTGCCAAATGATCATTCTTCACGTTAGACTCCATCTCAGAGGTTGTTTCTCAGGGTACCCAAATATTCCTCAAGTGAGGATGGAATCTATCATCCATCCACCAATCTGTCTATCCATTTCTTTACACTATTGTTTTTATTAAGCCATCCTCCATGCAATTCAGAAGATTCATTATTATTCTTTTCAATAACATTTCTTCAGGTTATAACACACATCCTATTCACTAGATAGCCATTTGTTATGTTTAACTAATTTCCCAAAGTTTTATATTAAATGTGCAATGTTTAGGCGTATTAGCATATTTTGTGATGAAAATCTAAAAGTGCATCTATTACTAAATTTGATTTCACCAAATTATCTGCAGAGGGCAGCAAAGAATAATCTTAATGTAAATAGATGATAAATGACCAACCATAAGTTTTGTTTATTGGAACAAAAGAGACAACTATGAAGTCAGTGTGTCCAATTTGGAAAAAAAAAGTGAGGGAATAGATGAATAGATCTATTTATGGAAGATGTATCAGAGACAAGACAGAATTAAAAGGCAGGGCGTTAAAGAAAGTATAATTAGCCATATAGTTAAGAAATAGATTTTGCTGTGAGATTTCTTGGGCTTGAGTCCTATCTCCATCATTGATCATCTGTATTTATCATCTGGTAAAATCTACTTAATTTTTAAGGCTTTAATTTCTTAAACTGCAAAATGGGGATAATAATATTTGCTACATAGGGTTGTTGAAAGTACTAAATGAGGCAATATTTTAAATTGTTTAGAACAAGGCCTGTGTGTTCAGTTTAAGGCAAATATTTACTCTGAATATGACCAGTGAAATCTAAAATTCATACTAGGCATCAAACAAAATATGGTTACTAATTTCTCTGTTGGGTGTAGCGAATATCTGCTCCTAAACTTTCCTTTTTGTACAGTCTATAAAATCATAATGAAAAAAATAATCAGTAGATTTCAGGTGGCTATATTTTTTTTCTAAATTTCTAAGGATAATTTTTGTGTAGTGAAAATTTCAAGATAAATATCAGTACAACAGTGGATGTAAAAATAGATATGTGCATTTTGTGAGGTTCTTTTAAGTTACCAATCAATACATTTAATTGTGCATGGAGGAAGATCCAGGACTTCAGACAATTTTTGAGAACTTGGGTTGATAAAAATTGTAGAGAGGTGAATTGGAAAATAGAAAATGGATATGTCTAGGAGTGCAGAGATTTGATTTTACAGTGTTCTGCAGTAATGGTTAGATTTGGATCTCTAATTGTGCCACGGGGGCAGGGAGGAAATAAAGAGTGAAATGTTGTGGAGTTTGGGTTTCTTGAAATTCTTCATACCATTAGGCATTGTTCTTTTACCTTTATGAAATTTCTAAGTTAGACTTGGGTAGTGGTAGCACAGGGTAGATTGAAGGAAATGGGACTAAGTGATTAGCTGGTGTGTTTGTGTATGTGTTTGAAAGGGGACATCAGACCAGATAGCTGAACTAGAGAGCTTGCCGAAAGTAAAGATGCCAAAGAAGCAGGTACTGGACTATTTTTGCAAGGATGCATATCCAGAAAATTCAGCTATGTGCCTGGGAGCAGGCAGGTAATGAAATTCCAGGTGGTTAATACTCAAATAGAAGGTGAATGATTAGGCAGTGATCCTGCATAATAAAGAGCCCAAGGAACAAGGGGCCAAAGAGACTGCAGTATATATAAAAGCTCCGTGTTCAGTTTCTTCATAATGGGAGGAGTCCCCGGGCAAGACTGCAGTGTCCTACCTTAAATGATGGTGGCTAAGTCTGAATCTGACTTGGAGACAGAGAAGTACACCTGATCAGAAGAAATTTACTTCAATAGCATTTGTAGGCAGATGAACCAATTTTGAGTTAATCAGCAGTGAAAGTTTGGGGACATTGTAACTTAATTGAGCTCTAAAACTTACTAAATCTTTTTTGTTTTAGCTGCCACAACCATTAATTGGCATCACATCATTTTTTTCCCTTTTCACATGCCCTGATTCTTAGTAGGTATTATTGAAGAAAAGACTGGTAGAGTAAAAGGTTGGAGTTTCTGGCTTGACCAAAACTTTTCTCTTGCTCTTCTGCTGTTTTCTGGGTCCCTGTGCTCACGGGGCACAGCCAAGAAGAATTTGGGGTCTTTAGATTTTTTCAGAAAAATACATTTACCAGACATGCATATATTTCTCTTATTATACTGAGTTTTGGGGGATACTTTAGGTGGATAATTTTGCTAACTAATCCTTGGTCCCTTTATTATTTTGAACACTTGCTCTCTATCCGAAGTAAAGGTAGGGGTTTGAAGGTGGAAGAGATAGGGAATAGAAAGAAAAACAATCTCATTCTGCCAAATCAACTTGGTGAATCTGTCATTTTTGATACCACTCAACTAACTCCTGAACTGCTGATAGCAGGCTGTAGTCTGATCTCAGATGAGCACATGGGAGTGTTCTTCTCGAACTAGCAAACGTGAAATATTTCACTTTCAACTGTGTTACCAAATCACTTTGAAACTTTAGGCAGAAGATCATTTAGCCCTTCTGTGGTGAGTTTTGGTTGTGTCACTGAGCAAACATTAAAATAAATGATCATCAAGAATTTTTGATGACTTACAAAAAAGTTCCTGTCAATTTAATATTAAGTGGAAAAAAAGGCTATAGACTTGATTAAGAAATGTGCCTCATGACATTGGACTATTAATTGCATAGCAGAGACAACTCTAGGTCTGTCTGTTATCAAAATCCATGGTCTGATCTGCTATATGTGGTGGAAATCAAGAGTGTTTTATTTTAAATGACATTTTCTCACTTATTTTTCTGACACCTAGTTAAACATTGGACAGAGGAGAAGACTGCTATAATCCACTCAAGGTCATAACTCATTCTCTCAGTCTTCCATGCCGTTAGAGACCTTGTTTTACTGTCTGAGCCAAATCAATTCACTGGGAAGAAAGCCAGAGAAGGGGGAGGGGAAAATATATATAGTTTAATGTTTGGAAAGAAGGAAGATGGAATTGCTAACTTAGAAAAAAAAATGCATTGTGTTTAATCTTTTTCCTGTTTGCAATGTTTTCTTCCCCTTCCTGGAGGGTTTTGCCATGGGTTAGGAAATTCTTAACACACAGAAGATTTTTTTTTTCTCTCTCTCAGATGTATCTAAATGCAGACTAACTGGCAACATTAGGCAGAGTTTTCCTGGAAAGTTGGAATTCCAGATGGGTGTCAACTAAAAGATGAGTGTTTATTAATTTTGTTAAAATAACAGTGTAACTCTTCAAAGATGAAAGTAATTGCCAATGAGTACTGAACTGTGACATAAAATGATGCTCCCCCCGTGTCTACTTCATGAAAATATGTCACCTTATAGGGCAAAATGGACTTTGCAGATGTGATCAAGGATTGTGAGACAGAGAGATTATCCTGAATTATCTGATGGATTCAGTACAAACACGAAGGGTCTTTATAAGAGGGAGGCAGGGGAGTCGTGATCAGAGAAGGAGATATGACAGTGACAGAAAGGTTAGAATGATGTGGCCACAAGCCAAAGAATGCAGACATCCTTTAGTAGCTGGAAAGGACACAGAAGAGATTCTCTCCATAAGCCTCCAGAAAAGCTGTAGCTCTGCTCACGCCTTGGTTTTAGTCCTATAAGACTCATTCCAAACTTCTGACATCCTGCCTGGTAAGATACTAAGTTTGCATTGTGTTAAGCCACTAAGTTTGTGGTTATTTGTTAGAATAACAATGGAAAACCAACCTATTTATGACACTTCCAGACTTGTATGCAGATTTCCTTCCTAGACAGCAATTTTATCCAGGATTTTTCAAGCAGAAATATTTCTTCCAGATCTGAATACTAAGGCTGTACACTTCAACCTGGAGAAAGCTTCTAAAAGGTATCATGACTGGGAAATGTATAGCCATGAACCCCAAACAGAGAAATATCCTGTCTTACTTTTTAATGTAAGTTTAGACAAATCCGTTTTTCTTGGGCATGTTCAATGTCTTACTGTAAAGTTTATCTGTGAGCAGCAGAAGTGAGAGGGGAACCAATGAGCTGAAAGATAACTCAATCAATCTGCTTCCTCTGTCTTTGCTTCAGCGCCTTGTTCAGGAAATCCAATGCTGTGTCAAGTTCCAGAGAAGAGTTTCTTCTCTTCCAAGTTACTAATCAGGCTAAAACACATCCAGTAGGGGAAAGGGCTTGGAGGAAAGAAGTCCCCTGCTGCTGCTGGACTAAGAGGAACCAGCACCAAGAAGTCGACCGGAGGGAGCCTCGCCATGCTCACAGCTGCTCCTCTACCTGTCAGGAGGAAAAGTACTGAGTGAAGGGCAGAAAACAAAACAGAAATGCTCTGCCCTTGCAGAACTCATGACCTAGGGCTACTCTTGATGTTGACCTCCTTCTTCGTGTCGGGTGAGTCTGAGTTCTCTTTGGGAGAATGACTGGTGAGAGACCTGGACTTAGCTCCTCCGGGGTTTTCTTTGCCTTTCTTATGGGACAATGCAAGCCCATTGTAGCCATAGATGTAAGACATTACCCACAAGTTTATTTGATTTTATCATCTTTACTTTCTGTTTTGTCTTGTTTATTTTACTTTATCCTACCACAATATGTATATTTCTATGATTTGCCTTACTGCCCCTTCCTTATCCCTCATTCCCCTTTTTCTGACAGGGCAGGCAAAAATTAAACACATACTAGCAGCAATCGAAGTTGTCTGGGTTCTCTTTATCTTCTTTGCTTCTTTAGGAAAAAAAATAAATAATTATCTTATCCCATTTAAGTCCACATTGTTGATAGCATAGATTAGGAAAGTTTATTGCTTTCTACTGGTTTTTATGACTAGGTACTTTTGAAATATAATATATGCATGCAGTTTTGCTGGAACACCTGTGATGTGTGTCTGTATTTTTCTTGAAGGTGTGTGGGCTGTAGGAAACACTTTCTGAATTAGAGGACACACTCCTCATCTTAGGTTCCTGTAGGAGTTGAAGAGAACATGGGGGCTACTGCGGGGGTGTCCTGTTTCACTACAGAGGGTTGTTAGGAGTTGATGTGATAGGGAGTTTGCAGGTTTCACTTTTAGTAGATGGAACAGTGGCAAAGGAACAATGTAGTTAGTTTTAAATTTTATAAATTTTATAATTGAAAGAGAAAAGGTATTTTTCCCCTCATTGGAATAACTCTAAAGTCATTTTTATCTATCTTTCAGCAAAAAAAGAAATATCACAGGTTTATCTTACTGGTGGGTACACACAAAATAACCATCCTCCACTACTGTACCTTTCTGAGAATTTTCACATATTTTTTTCTCTTTTGATCTGTACAGTAACCCAGTAAAGTACACATGGAAGACATCTCTTCATTTTACAAAGATAGAAACTGAGGCTTAGAGAGATGACATGATTTGTTCAAGGTTAGAACAACTAGTATGTGTTCATACTCAGTTATAACATATGTCAGTAAACATCAGGAGACATTTGAAAGAGTGATTTTCTTCAATGTTTAACCCTTGTGCTACTCTCTGTTTCTCACTCCACCACTATTTAAATACCACTGAAAAAAGGGAGAGCCAAAAATTTGTTATAAACTCACTATGGACTGTTATTCACTTAAAAAAAAGTGATCTGAATCTTTCCACAGTTGGAATCTTGTTTTAGAAAGCTCTTCTAAAAGGCTGTGCAGTGCCCAATGTGGTCAGGGGAAGCCAGATAGTTGAGGTACTGTTTATGGTGATTCGAACTATTACTCTTGGGAAAGGGAAAAGCATAACAAGATGAAAGTATAATAATTTGAAATTTGAATGTTTAATGGTGTAAAATTTAAAATGATTTCTGTGCACAACAAGGAGATATTGCATACATCAAATCTCTGAAGTCTGTTCTTGTATCATTATAAAGTTGTCAAAATGTTTAGGAATCAAGATATTAAAAAATCCAATTATGTGCAGTGATTTGGTGTGATAAATTCCCCAAGAAATGATTTAGGAGAGTGAGAAGAAAACCACTTGTGGTGATGGCTTTATGTTTCTTACTGATATTGCTTTGTTGTCAATACTGCCTAATAGAAGCAACTCACTGTGCCCACAACACATTCACCAAGGAGCAAGAGAGCTCCTGGCTTCAAGTTAACCATGCTTAACTGTTTACTTTTATCTACTTATTTGCTTATAACTTTAAGCAATGTGGAGGTTAGTAGACAAAATTTAATAACAAAATACCTGAGGATGAAACTAAAGGTAATTTTGATTGTCCATTCCAAAGCCAAGTTCCAAACCTTGTACCAAGTCATCCTCCCCACTGCTCCATATTCTCTGCTGCTCCTATCTTCTGAGTCTTGTATTCTAGATTTTTTGTATGTGTTCAAATTTTATTTTCCAATTTCAATTAAAAGCATTGTACCTTTTACAAAAGTTATTAATTTCACCAAAATGAGTTGCTGAATAGGAACCCTCATCTTTATTTTGGGGGGATAATTTTTACTCATTTATCATCACCTTCCACTAGAGGGCAAGCAGGCAACAGAGGAAGTAGATAAAAATCAAGACTGAGCTATGGGGTAATTTTAGCAGAATTGCAAAAGATGGAGAAAGATTAAAAGCAGTTGTGAAAAAAAAAAAAAGAAAAGATTTGTCTTTCTTTAATTTTAGCCCTTTCTTTTTTAGTTTGTGATAGTTGTGAATTTACATATTAAAATAATTTATAGGTATATTTTCCTATAATTGTTTAAGCAATTAATAAATATATTGGAAGACCTTATTAAGAGCATGGAGTGTATTCAAAGCTGAGATGAAGTCTTTGGGAAAGATTTAAAATTAGTACATCTTGACATTTTTTTTTTTTTGTCTTGGAGCCCAGGAACAATCTGAAGAAAGTTGAAATGATGGTGGGTTGCCTTGCTGAAGTCTTCATGGAGGAGAAGTATCTGGAATTGGGCCTTGACTGATAGGTTTGGGAAAGTCAGTAACTTTGTAAAAGGTGGAATGATTTTAACTGGAGCAGGAATATATAATTCAAACACATACCCCAAACCTAGAAGATGAAAGGGGTAAAAGGAGGAAGAAGTAGTCTAAGAGATGAGGAGTTGAAGGAAGGGAGACCAGTTACAAGGTTGGGAACTTGACTCAGTGGTGGATGATTTAAATTATTTTTAGTTTCCCCCTCAGGTATTTTCTTATTAAATCTTGTCTACTAACCAGAAAGCAGAGAAGGAAATTGGGAGGGGGGGCCATGTAATGTGAGCAAAGTCAAGGGTTTTCGGGGGAGAAAGAAATCTAGTTTGATGGCACAGATATCGTGTGCTGTATGATAATAGGAAATAAGGCTGGGTTTCAGGGGTCTTTGGTAACTGAGTAGAGAAATCTTAGAACTGTGCATTAGACAAGGAGGGGTCATCTATTATTTTGTGAACAGTAAAATAATGTAATAAGGTAATATTTTGGGAGAATAGTATAGCAGCAGAGTCCCATTGAATGTTGGTAGCACTAAGTAAAAAAATTATTTTGAAACAGGAGCCAAAAGATTCTACTCCAGTATTCAATGATCCACATCGTTGGCTGAGAAGGGAGTTTGTAGAGGAAGGTATTCAGCTCAGTTTAGGGAGGGAGAACACTAAGGAGGGAAATTCTTGTATGTACTTGGAAATGTAGCAAAATCCAGGGTTTGTGGACAATTTATGAAGAGGATAATTCCACAAAAAGACTACCCATCAAAATACACATAACAGAATAAGCACTAGAGATTTCTGGATTGGATCCTAAGGAGCCTAATTATCTCATTCCTCTTTATAACAGAGGGCAAGATCTAAGAAGAGATAGGAAGACACATATGATGAGCTATGAATTGTGTAGATAACCTTAAATGGGAGGAAAGATACTTTTGCTGAAATTGAAGAATGAGTTGAGAAGTTGAGTGTGGGAAGACTAATAAGTTAAGAATAGCAATAAGGAGGCCAAGCATGGTGGCCCATGCCTGAAGTCCCAGGAAGGTAGAGGCAGGAGGATTGAGAATTCAAAGCCAGCCTCAGCAAAAGCGAGGCACTAAACAACTCAGTGAGACCATCTCTAAATAAAATACAAAATAGGGCTGGGAATGTGGCTCAGTGATAAAGTGCCTCTAAGTTCAATCTCTGGTGGTAGTGGGGGATGGCAATAAGGAGATGTGAGAATTTTAAAGTGTTTATTGTATAAACTTCTTCCCAATAAGATTATGAGTATTTTAATAAGTAGTGCTTGTTAATAAAATCAAACAGAGGTAATATGATTTTATAATGTATCAAAATATTCATCTATACAGTGATTAAAATGTAATAGTCATTAATATATTTTTGCCTTTTCTCCCAAATATTATTCAGGCATCAACACCAAGAAAACAATTTCCAACTTTTCCACAATAGAATTTATAGGCCTTGCATATCTAAAAACCTAGACCCCATTCTGAGAACAAAATCTAATCTGTGTTTAAGGGAAGCACTATAGAAGAGTCCCAGGACTGGAAGTTTTTCCATTTCTAAAAATATAATTTTCTTCAAAAATCTCAAGTACTTTGAGTTAGTGGTGGTGTTGCAGGTTATCTTGGAATCAGACTGATGTAGTTTCATGTGCAGAATATTTACTGGTAGAGGGAAAAGTCTTCCTGGGATCTCAACCAGCTGTTACCCCCTCCTAACCCTATGGGGGGCTTTAGAGATATAATGGCCTTAAAGAGAACCTTTGTTGTCAAATTGGCTGGTCCTTTGTACTTTCAGTCTTCTGGTTATTGGATGAGGACTGTTCTAGGAAAGATCTGACTTTGGGCAGAAAAACTGAGGTAATATTGCTGAAGATGCTGGAGATGGAATGCTGTATTCTACCAGTGCTCCCAGTAACAGCCGTGGAGTCATTGCTTGAGGGAGATCCTGGAGCATGTCCACATCTACCATAGTTGGGGTTTCCAGTACTCTTCAGTCCTTTTTGATTTTCCCAGCCTCTATCTAGTATAGTATTATTTCCCTTTAGGTTGAAAAATTTCTTTTGTCATTTCTAGAAGTGTAAGTTTTCTGGCAAGGAGTTCTTTTAGTTTTCTTTTATATAAAAAAGTATTTGCTTTCATTCTTGAAGCATATTTTGGTTGGATGGAGAATTTGGGGCTGAACTTTTTTTTTTTTCAGTACCTTAAAAATGTTTTACTATCTTGGATGAGAAGTCAGTTGGCCATATACACCATTGTTTTCCTGAATATAATGTGTTATTTTTTTTTCTGGCTGCTTTCAACCTTTCTCTCTCTATTGTATCCAACAATTATAACATGCCCATTTTGTGTGGTTATTTTCATCTTTAAGGAATTGCTTAGCCTCCTTAGATAGTAATTTACTGATTTGTGAAATGAAGAAGATGTACAACACTATTAAGAAGTGTAGAGGTTTCAGAAAGGAAG